TCCTGCCAAATCCCCCTCCCCCAAAGGATGCCACATGAAAGCCTGCACAGTCTGTATTTGATCGTCCTTATTTGATGGCCTTTTTTGTGTGTGTGAGAGAGAGGAAATGTCACCCTCCATTGTGTCCTAAAAATCTATGGACTACCCTGGTTAAAAAAAGAAACATGTTTGCAAAATTGAGCTGAGATGTTAGGATAAGAAAGGACACTGGTCATGACAGATAAAAATAGAAGGAAGAAAGGAGCTGATGAAAGTAGTTTTTTCCTTCCTCTTTATGGTAGACTCACAGAAGAGATAAGTCCCACAGCCATGTTTATATTATAGACATCATAAAGCGGCTTCTGAAGAGATGGCATTTCCATACAGCTGAATGTACTGGAATATAGAGTGACATCTTTTTATTGTATGAGGATGAAAAACATGTAGAAAAGGCATGAAATGATTTAGATATTGTTTTCTAAAGCATGATCAAACATACACTTGAACTCATAATTTTATTAACGTTTGTACTTGACATGAATCATAATAATGATAATAGATAACTTCCACAGAACACTTATTCTATGCAGGCCACTTGAGGCAGATTATTTTCATTTAATCTTAGTGATTCTGTTGAAAAGCCTGAAATTCTTATTTTAAGTGATTTTTTCTAAGGCTACACATATATAATGCATAGATTTTGAACTGCAAGTCTTTTGTTTGTTTGGTGCTGATATTGAACCCAGGGCTTCATGCATGCTAAGCACATTCTCTAGCACTGAGCTACATTCCTAGCTCCTTGTATGTCTCTTTATCCGAAAAATTCTTATTAGTTCCATAATCAACTCATGTTCCTTCAAATGGACTTCCTATCTGATTACTTCATAAACATTTTTTTAAAAATTGAAATAGCTATTAAAGTTAGATTTAGTATCCACCGAATCCTGAAGGTAACTAAAAGCAATACTGAAAATTAAAGTTAGGCATACTAGAAATTAAAATTTAAACATTTAAGTCCTGGTTATGTATTGCTATATAACAAATGACCTTCAATGTTAAATAGCCTAAAAATTATAATTAATTAATTATTATTATTAATTATAACCATGAATTGATGGGTCATAAACTCAAGCAGAACATATGGAATGGCTTACTAGTTCAAATTGGAAGACTTAAATGACTGGGGAATAGAACAGTTGAGAAATAGAAGGGGATCTCTGTCTGTCTCTCTCTCTCTCTCTTTCTCTCTCTCTCTCTCTCTGTGTGTGTGTGTGTGTGTGTGTGTGTGTCCCCAAAATGGCAAGGTTGGACTTCTTCACAATATGGCCATCTCAGGCTAGTTGTATTTCTTATGTGGCAACTCAGAGATTCAAGAGCAAGTGTCCAAGAGACAGGAAATAGAAATTACCAGTCTCTTACCACCTGGACCAGGAAACTGATATAGCATCCTTTCTACCATATTATGTTTCTCAAAGCAGCCACAGGCCTATCCTAATTCAAAGGGAGGAAACAGATGCCCCCTGTTCCCTATGGGAGGTGTACAGAAGAATTTGGGGCCATTTTTAATACATCACTGCTAAATTTCAAAATTACCTAAATATATAAATGTTGGTAGAATCACAGACATCAATAGGGCAGGCTACACTGAACTGTTTTTTTTTTTTTTTCCGCTCCTCAGGCATTATCCAAATAATAAATATTAACAATACTGTAGATGTCAGTCACTATTTGGGCTTTCTTTATGTGAAGATTTTAGAATATATCTTAACGAAGGATAAACTTATTTATTGATGGCTTATTGTTGTTTATTGATAGCAATGAATCAATAAAATTTCATTTAATCCTTCGAATTTCCTTAAGGTTTCATGCCCATTTTTATGGACAAGGAAACCAAATCATCCTTGGGGCCTTGCAAATTTTCAAACATTTAAGGTCAGTCTTCTTTTAAAATTTAAATACAGATGACTAGCAAACCTTACCCTCCACGTGTAAGAGGAATTCAGCATCTGCAAACTTGAAGATTTAGCATTTGTCCCAGTTATCCATTCTTCTAATTTCCTGTTTCTACTTAATTCTTGATCATTCAGATCTTGTCTTCTGTTATTGGTCGCCTCTTTCCTCTCTACTCTACCCTAATGTGAATATAACTCCCAGCCGCTTTTTCATTGGTTCTATAAAATTCTGTTCAATGCAAGCCTATTTGAATGTATTTGAGCCATTCTGAAGGTTTGAGGCTAATGAGAAGAACCCAGTCCACCCAGAAGAAAAATCATTTTTATTTGTGTATGATACAATATTGTTTGAAAAAAATATCTAAGTCATTTTATGTACCTGGTAATTTCTTACTGTCACCATGAACCCTAAGCTCCTGCCAATATTGTCCACCTTCTTAGTCTAGAATTCCTAGTACCCTTCACATCACTCCTCTATTGGCTGTTGCTAAAAACTAACATTTAACCAACCAACTGGCTTTATGCACAGCAATTAGCTTTCCTCTGTTTTTTCCCTGGGCCACTGCAGAGATAGTCTGACCTACTAAGGTTTCATTCAACATCCAGAGAGGTCATCAAAATATTTTCATGCACAATGACACTTGCCTTCCTAATAATTCTACTACTATATTTTTTAAAAAGAATTTCCTTCTTTATTTCTATTACATCAAAATTAAACTCAAGTCAATGTGAGTGTCAAGCTTGTGATGTTTTTTTCTGTTGCTGCCGCTGAATCTGAACAAGATTCCAGGTGACAGTAGAAGCACCAGGGAGAGGGTGATCTGCCAATGCTCATGCAATGGATTTGCCTTTGGGTTCAGTTTTAATTTGAATGAATATTTTAAAATCTAAAATTAATTTAGCAAACATGCCAAGCACATGATCAATATCTAATAAATAGATGAAGAGTGAATAAATGAGTATAATGAATGAGGAACCTTCGTGTTGTATAATAGAGTTCAGGACTTAGTATCACAGTTGGACAATAAAACTAGCAAAATGATATGTTCAGTGAAAAAGGCCTGAGACTTCATTAGGATACACAGAACACAGTGAAGGAGGCTCAATGGAAAGTAATCAATGGCCCCAGAATGAGGTGGAGAAAAGCCTACAGAAATTAATATTGGAGAAACCGTTTTAAGTGTATTTAAAAAATGCTTACAGAGTAAATGCTTTAATAAATCTTTCAATAATTGGCAAAGTATTGAGAATGTTGGAAGTTGTAATGCTCTAAGAGATTACTTCAAAGAACTAGAAAAGTGATTGTTCTTGGAATTTGTCAAAGAAATATAAATAACAAAGCTGTGAATGTAGATAAAACAACCCTAAAAGGAAAATGATGGAATCAGATAAATATATATGACAGTAAAAGCAACACATCAATATTTTCATGAATTCTTGTTTTCCTTAGGGCTCAGTCTTGGCACCAGGTCTCTGTGTTAGCTTTTGGTGAGTGACTTTGTTACACAAGATGGCAGATCTTGGGAATTGTGGTGTAAAAGCACATCCATTGTTATTTCTCTCGACAACAGTACTTGGTTTACACAGGGTGTACAGTTTGAGATGGTTTGTGGAAAAGAAAATTTCCCACAATGCCAATTAAGTTAAATTTGGAGGACCTCGTCATTTTTTCCCTTAGGGCTTAGCTTGAGCCCACTGGAAACCATCTTGATCCCTAGATATCATGTACTTTTAATGAATAGAAATCCAAATTATCTCTCCTGTGGGTATGGAGGGCTGCTGAGATCACTAAGCTCCTCTGACCACTCATAAATATAGCACTTTCCTGTTCTATGTCAACAAATCCTGGATAATGATGTTCATTATTTCACTGCATTCTGAAAATCAAAGGAGACCAAACAAAAAAATACTTCTCGTGATGAGCTACAAGAGACAACTCATTTCCATATTAAATTAAGCACATTTGAGGAACTCATATTTTGTGACATGCTATCATAACTCATTTTGTATGCCTTTATTTTAAAATTCCAAGTCTTAGACTTTCTAAAATACAGCGATTCAGAAAGTGAACATCATTATTTTTTACTCAAAGCAAACAAAACCAACACCTTTATACAGTTAAAAACAGATATTAAAGATATTTTATCTTGTATGATATGCTGCCTGTTGTTTTGAGAAGATTTTTTAAGAATATACCAATCTCATTTTCCCTTCTGAGTAGCAGTATTTTTTCTTCCTTTAGGCTTATTTTTAGGATTATGTTGCCAAATTTTGTTTGGGAATGAAAAAGTCATATGAAGTTCTCTCTCTCTCTCTCGCTCTCTCACACTCTCTCTCTCCCTGTGCCACCCCCCATCTCTCCTGTAAAGTGTATAAAGACTCATTGGATACAATCCTCTTAAAAATAAAAATCAGGAAAAAAAAAAGCAAGTTTCTTTTGAAGCAATGAAATGTTCCCTTTCATTAGATGCTGAAAACAATATAACCCATTGTTTTTCCCTTTTCTGTAAACTGCCAGGAAGCTCAGAATTCCATTTAATGTTCAGTTACAGTAACTATTTTAAACCTGTCTTCTTCTATGCTTTTTGATTTTCTATTTTAACAACCTTTTTGTGTACATACATTTTCTTGAAACCTACCCACAATATTTTCTGGAAGCAGGAAGAGTAAAAGTTGCTGTTAAAAACAAAAAACAACAAACAACTCTAATTACATTGGAATGTGTGGGTTATTTTTAGATGCAAATCCACAGGACAATCACAAATCCCTAAGTAGCTGGGGGAATGATCTCCACTAGTATTCACTGTGTCCTTGTTCATAAAAACACCATATTGAGAAAAGTAGAAAGGCTGTTTAGAATTTGACTTCTTAATGAAAATTTACCTCCTTATTTGATTCACTAACTGAACTTACTCCCTGGACATAGAGAACAGAAAACCTTCACCCCATTCTCATCTTTTCTTTCCCTAAGAGGTTCCCAAAGGATGGAGGTTAAATCCAATAGCACCCCACCCCCACCCCAGCAGCACCCAGTACAGATCCCTGCCTTGACATATGTGGTTCTGGACATGAGAAAAAACTGAGAACAGGGTTTATTTAAGTACTTTTTATCAAGAGATACAAGTTCTAGCTGGCTCCTAGTGAGGGATAAAACGTCGTAGAGTTGGACTTTCCGGTATTGATATTAATACTCCACCATCTGATATTGCAAATTCCAAAGAGCTAAAAAAAAAAAAAAATACTGTCAAAGGAAGCCAACCAAATTGCTCTAAATCTTTTAAAATAAACATTTGTTTCAATCATGGGTAGAGGCCTGGGAATGAGGAAAGAATCTACAAAAATATTTAAATTAAACTAGTTTGCCCACCTTGAATCACATTCTTAGCCCAGCAGCCCATGTTAGTGGGGTTCTTAAACACCTTGTAATTATGTGGTAAATAATAGCTTTTTTAAAAGCTCTTATGAGTTATGACTAGGAGCTGATGCTGAATCCCAATACTTCCTTTAAAAAAAAAATAGAGTCAGTGAATCATTCTTTTTAACAAAGAGCCTGGGAAAAAATTAAGAAAGGACACACAGGAATTTGTGGAGTTGGTAACCAATTAGAAAGCTTCAGTGGAGAGAGAGAGAGAGAGAGAGAGAGAGAGAGAGAAGTAGTTTAAATTCAGTATGACTTAGAGAATATTTTGGAAATTTAATAAACATGGAACGAAGTTATTTGAGACCTAAGTAATAAATAAAACGGTTAAATTCCATTCATTCCTATACTGTGGCAGTGCAGTCCTTATCTCTGAACACACACCAAAACACACAAAATCCCTGATGCCTATCTGCCAGCCCTGGAGGGCAGCCTGGCAACAGGAGAAGGAAGAAACCTCTTTTAAAACTCTTATCTTTTACGATTTGTGCTTTCTACCAAATCTGTCATCTTTTACTTTGGCCCCAACTGGAAATTAAGGAGCAGGGTTACCAGATGGCAGAGGCTACTGATGTTGGCCATAAATATATAGATGAAATAAAAACCAGAAACCAGAAATCAAATTAAAACAAGATCCTGAAATGCTCGACTCCCCCCTCCCCGTCCTGTCTAAATTAACAGACTTAATAATTCAAAAGTAACTTGCCAGAGATTTGAGTTTCTTTTGAAAAGCCTAATTATAAGCTTTTTTTTTTTTTTAAGTAAGAACATTAGGTCTTCAGGAAGGAATATTTAAACATGCTAGCAAAGGAAATTTCAAACCCAATATATTTTTCTAATACTAAATTATTGTCATATTTGCATCTGTGGCTACGATGGAAAGCTTATCTCCTGGCACAGGGAGGGAGAAAAATGGCTATCTTCTATGCCTGAAAATGAATTTTTTTTGACTGCTTATTACTCAGCCTGTCCCTGACACTCCACACAGACCAGTGTCCATGTCTTCTCCAGGCAGACCACCGCCACCTTCTTAGAACAACAGAAGAACCGTAAATTAACAGGTTAGTATGTATCACAATTGATTAAATATTAATAAAGGCTAGATAGGCCACTTCTTTATCACCATCTCTTCTGTTATTTCCCCAGGGGTGTTAACCATGAAATAACATCCTTCTTCCCTTAAACCCAAAGGAACAGCTGACAAAAAGGTTTTATTTTATTTATAAATGGAGGCACAAAATGCATAATATAATGCAATAAAACAATGAATGCTTTTTCTTTGAGTCGATTAAATTCCACTGGTCTGAGGAGGTCTGGTTTGACTGTGGACTGATGGCTCTTAACATTGTGGCCTAGATCGCTGCACAGATGTGCCTGGGATGAGGGCTCATAGTGTGCAGTGACACTTGGGCAATAGGACCTCTGGGTCTGTGTTGTCTCCCTAAGCACAGTCGGCCCATTTGCCAGTGGCATCTGATGGCTGAATTTATCAATGCCAATGTGATTCCCAGAATTTTATGTCCTAGGAACAATGATGTGTTACCCTTTCTACATGCCCCTTCCAGACCCCTGTGCCCAGGAAGCTGACTTATGCAGACTCTATTACCTGGGTTCCCTTGCCCTTTGCCTTCTGTTCAATGACAAGCCACCAGAAGCAAAAAGCCACAGCACCTATCTGGTGGTCCTGGAGCTCTGGTTGAGCTCTATAACCATTTCTGCTCTTGCTTTTGAGTTTTAGAGGTTACAGTGACTTCCTTTCTTGCCAGCCTCAGGGGTGCACACCACCCCCTGTTATTTCCCTGCTCACACCTTTGTATGACAACCTTCCACTAAACTCTTCTCAGTTACCACTTTTGATTACTATCTATTTCTGACACATATATGAAGCTGTATAGGGCAAGAGAAATAGCTATACTTTTAAAAATGTCAATAAATAGAATTTTCATTAATTCATCTGATTCTTCCCTTTCTCTCTTGGTCCAGTATAACATGTAATACTGAAATTCAGGGGGAATTAATAAGAGATAATTAGATCATGTATTGAACACTTAAGTGCAAAATGTTTTGCATGCATTATCTCATTTAACCTTCATTACCACCGTAGAAGGTGAGTATTAGCATCTCTGTTTTCCACACATGGAAACTGAGGTACAAAAGTTTTTAAACAACTTGCAAGTACCGGCCTACAGCTAATAGCCTGCCTAGGTTGTTCCTCATTCTAAATTCAAAATCATCCTGACTTATTGGACTCAACAGTTGTTCTGAAATGCAGTCCCATTCCTTGTAATATGAAGCTTAGCAGAGCACACAGCTATAAACATATCATGCAACCTCAGGAAGAAGTCACAATTGTAAAGTGAGGCCTAGATGAGAGGTCCCCACATAGCAACAGTAGTTGTTTTGAGATGGTGGTTTTCAAATTTTTCACACTGGGCATGTTTTAGCAAAAGATGGAAGGTCTCTATATATATATAATGGATAACCAGTCCTGGTGCTCCTCTGATGTGCCTGTCACTCTCTGCTCAAGAGATGTAAGACCCCACGCAGTTTACCAACACTTGATACGCAGCACCTTTATGGAATCACAGCCACCATACACCAAAGTCATAGAGTCCAACATTGTTCTTTTTCCATCTGTAGAAAATAGAGCTGATTTACCCAACATTCAGCAGTGAATTCCAGAAAAACTTAAACAAAGACTTCCGGTCACTGAGCTCCTAATCCAGGCTTTCTCCATTTCTTTGTGCTGCTATCTAGAAGAATCATTGTCAAGGCTTAACATAAAGCTTTTTTATTTCAAAAGTCTTTGCCTGCTATTCCTGTCCTTGAGGCCAAATGCTGTTGAAAAGATACAAAAGTGTCTGGTCCCCAAGGTACTAAAGTGAAAAGGCCCACTTCATGCCAATTCCAGGAGCCGTTGCCAATGATGGGTGAGTGATTCTGTCTCAGGACAGAAATCCTGCTTCTTCAGGCCTTGGGATGAATGTAGCTTCGCTTGCAGGCAGAAAGGGATAAACTGGGGGAAAGTCTGCAGAGATCATGTCTGGGCCCCGCGTGCTACACACAAGCCTCTGTGGAGAGAATAAAAACTCCCTAGATGGATGTAGTTGGGAAACAGCAAAGAAAGAAGAAAGCAATCCAAGAAAGGCAAGGACACCTAAATACCTCATTAAGTCCCTAAGAAATACTTCTCTTGGGAACCTTTAAAATCACCCCACTGTCCATATCATCTTTTCCTCTGATCTCCCTCTCCTCATCTTTAGGGCTGTGTCCACACCACCTTTGTCATGTGACTTTCAGCATGCATTTCAAGTTCTTCACCTTCTGAGGGTACCTCAGAAATGGTCCATCAGAGAGAGAGAGGAGGAGAAGGCCACTCTCAGATGCTTGCCTGGTTCATTGCAAATAGGAAGGTTTAGTTGATCACATAAAGAGTTGAAATACAAATAACACAGTGCATCATTCTAAAGAACAATTTTTCTTATTATTATTATTTTTAAGAGAGAAGGACCACACAACTTGGAAACAATTATCGGAGATCCTGACTGTGGACTTCCCTTTTCTGGAATATGTCCAGGACTTGAAGACTTCAAGAGCTACAGGCAGACTATTGGAGCTAGATTCAAGAGGTTTTAGACCAACGCAGGTACCAGGAAACTCAAGGTGGACACAGAGCAATTGTCTCCAGAGGCCAGTGGTATCTGGAAAGATATTGCACAAAAGGTCCTTTTATCTTGCAACTGGATAGTTGGTTTCCTCCTGGAGACACTTTCTATTTTTGTTTTCCTTTTGGCGACTTCTTTCTTACTGTTTTACTCCTACTCATCAGATACCAGGAAAGTGATGTAAGGACTGCTAAGAGGAAAAATATAAGGCGCCGCTCTGAGGAATGCATTGTGCTATGGTTTCAGTTAAATTGATTTAACTTGGTCTATTGGATTGTAAAGTCTCCTGAGGGTAGAGATAATTTTTTAAAATTTGTACTTTCTAGTCTCTTACATTGTTCTATGTCTAAAACATACTACACACTTAAAAAGTCTGAGGGGAAAAAAATGAGCCTATGATATCATCACAGTAAGGTTTCTTAACTTAATAAGTCCCTACTTCCTTCTTTTAGTGAAAGCTTGTTATCCAACTTACAATATAATGTTTGAATTTGAAAAAAAAAAATGGGTAGAGAAAAAAATCTGCTGAATTGGGTAGGAGATTAATTTTCTGTTCTTTATTTTTGTTTTATTTTTGGTATTAGGGACTGAATTCAAGGATGCTTTATTACTGAGCCACATCCTCAGCCCTTTTTATTTTTTATTTTGAGACAGCATCTCACTAAGTTGCTTAAAACCTCGCTAAGTTGCTGAGGTTGGCCTTAAACTTGCAATCCACTCGCCTCAACCTCCTGAGCCACTGGGATTACAGGCCCACCACACCTGGTCCAAGACATTCATTTTTAATATGTGTTGCGAATTAAAAATTTGCTATTTTGGTTGATTAGATTTAATATACATTGGAGCTTAAACATGAATTCCTCTTTTCACCTGGTTGTCCTCTGGCTCTGCTTCAATGTCACCTCAGCAGTCAGACCTTTCCAGACCAATCTATGTAAATATCACCCTACCTTGGCCTGCTGTACCCATCACCCTCCCTGTGGTCTTCCATAGAGCTTAGAGACTGACACATAATATGCTCACTTGTTTGTTTGTCTATTTCTGGTTTTCTTCCCATTCTTTCCCCATTCTGCCGCTTGAATATCAGGACAGCATCTCTGCTTTATCCTCTGTTTTGTCCCCTGCACCCAAGCAGTGTCTCTCGTATAATATAAGATATATTGTCCAGTACCAAGTCTAAGAAGATTTCAAGTCTGCCTGACTCTACATCACACCTCCAGAACTCAGAAGTTGTTGATTCAGTCCACAAAATGGGTCTGTTTTCTTATCTTTTGCTATTTTCATATCAAAATGAAGTTTTGGATTCTGATAATTTGAGGGAGTCAGTTTTTAAGACTGTTTTGACAATTAAAAACTTAGGAAGTATACTTAATAACCCTGAGTATCTTCATTTTCCAAATGACTGCCCAAGACTTAAATCTTAAATAATAAAGACTTAAATCTTTAAATCTTAAAATAATAAGTTAGAACATAAAGACTTTTTTTTTCAGTTTTCAACTTTTAATTATTTTATTTTATTTTTTAAATTAATTAATTTATTTTAATTAGATATATTTGACAACATAATGCATTTTGATTCATTGTACACAATTGCAGCACAACTTTTCATTTCTCTGGTTATACATCATGTAGCGTCACATCATATGTGCAGTCATACATGTACCTAGGGTAATTATGTGCATCTCATTCCACCATCTTTCCTGCCCCATGCATTCCCCCCCACTTCTCCCTCCCCTTTGCCCCATCAAAGCTCCTCCATTTTTCCCATGTCCCCGCTGTTATGGGTCAGCATACACTTACCAGAGAGAACATTCGGCCTTTATATTTTTGGGGATTGGCTTATATGGCTTAGCATGATATTATCCAACTCCATTGATTTACCTGCAAATGCCATAATTTTATTCTCTTTTAATGCTGAGTAATATTACATTGTGTATATTTTTATCACGGTTTCTTTATCAATTCATCTATTGAAGGGCATCTAGGTAGCTTCCACAGTTTAGCTATTGTGAATTGAGCTGCTATAAACATTGATGTGGCTGCATTACTATAGTATGCTGATTTTAAGTCCTTTGGGTACAGACCAAGGAGTGGGATAGCTGGGTCAAATGGTGGTTCCTTTACTTTTCATACAGTTAGACTTCAGTAAGTGTTACTAAAGCTGAATCTTCTTTCATATCAATGATGGTCCAGAACAATAGTTATGAGATTAGGCCCCTGGGGCAAAGGTATTCAAATCTTCATATGCCATCACATGGTCTCCTTTGAGTTTAGGTAAAGGGATGCATCTATGCCTCAGTTTTTCCATCTTACAATGGGAATAGTAATAAAGGTACTATCCCATTGTGTTATTATAAGGATCAAATAAGACAATGCCTATAAAGTTCTTAGCACAGCTCTTACATATCACCAGTAAATCCTGTTTTTCTTTGACTGTCAACTCACATTATCTCATGTTTTTAAATTGTGGGTTTACTTATCCTTTTCCAAATAGGACTTGAGACACCTATAGCTGACAATAAAAAATTAAATTATTTAATAAAAACTAGAAAGCATTAAAGCAAAATGTAAACCTTCTAGCTGAAGAGGTTAGCTGATTGCCTTGACTGAGTTTAAAATTAGACTTTGCACTTCCTGGCATCCTAGACTCCCAAGTTCTCAAATTTCTTTATCAGAGAGGGAAAAGGATACTAGCACTTTGGGAGAAGATGAAATTTTCCTGACACTAAGCTCTAAGAAGAATTTTTAAGTCAGAATTCTATCTCTGGATATGAATGATGCAATGGGAATCCTATTTGGATTCCGTTCTATTTTATAATGCTTGTGGATGAGGACCTCTTAAGGGTGTTTCTGGTAGGGATACAGTAGCCCAAATAAATGGCTAGATTCTGACATCAACGAGTTGAAGCAGAGAGACTAAAAGATTACTTTTGTCACTGATAAACATAATATTGAAAAATGCAACTTTCACCTGCACATATTTTGGGTTCCTAATACTAAACCTCAAACTTTGAGAACTTTATCTACCTTGTCACAGGCAGTGTTGGTCAATGTAGATCTCCACATTTGCAAACTTGTTCCTAGGAAGAAACACAAGGGCAGATGTAAGTGACAGGGCCACTTTCAAGAAAAAGGTTGGGTTACACACACCTTGTTCATTATCTCAAACTCGGCAGGAGAACCATCCACACCTCCTTTCCTGGAAAGATGAGAATATCCTAATGGTAGGTGGAAGCATGCTTACCTGAAAATTTTCTTATAGTAACCTCCATAAAAGCCAAGAATATTTTCCTCTAGAGCAAACTTGGGGGTGGTCTGATTTGATCCAAGGAGAGAATTTAGAATCTCTCCAAGAATGGGAAGTCAGATAATATTTACTTTCCATTTATTCATTGAATAGCCCATGTCAGGCATATACACCCTGGAAATACAACAGAGAGCAATAAACTGAGTACACAAGTATATAGTGACAAACAATGCCACCAGGAAAGACACTGGCAACACTGGGAGTGTTCAGCAGGGAATCTGCTCTGGGGTAAAATTGAAGGAATACTTTCCTGAGACTTTTGCTTTGATGCCCAGGAGACAGGAGATAGCATCAAAGCAGAAGGAATAGTGTGCAAAGACTCAGAGGTAAGAGGAGTGAGAGTTGTTGGAGAAGGTTGCAAAAGAGGAAAGGCAGAAGAGAGAGGTGACCAAAGATACTAGTAAGACAGGCAGGAATGTGACCAGGCGCAGCATTGTGGGCTATGTTGGAGGTATGGCCTTTATCCATATAGCACTGGGAATGCTTGATGGTTTTAATCAGAGAAGACAGCATGCTCAGAGTTCCCTTCTCACATAGAGTTTGGTGGGTGATCATTAGTAGACGGTCTCCAGCTTTTTGTACAGCAATGAGGATCTCATATTGGTGTTTGACAGCAAAGACCTCTACTTTGAGCCCCAAATGAGCAAATTATCCTTCAGCTAGTAAGTCGAGTTGCTTAGCTTGTGTTTTTTCTTTCAAGGTATACTACCTACCAAACTACCATCTCCGCAGTATTTCACAGGAGACAACCTTATATAATTTCCAGAACTTGTGGATATGTTCAGTTGAATTCCTAGGTATTCATATTTCAGGTTTTGACAGCAAAGGTTTGTACTTGAACTTTTTTTCCGAAGATTTTATGAGTAATTTATTTTATGTTTCTCCTATCTTTAGAAAAATTAAAAATAGCTCACAGACATACAACTTGTGGAACAGAAGCATAAAGCATAAGTCTGTGACAAGAAATACTAGGATGGGATGGGGGTCCTTACAGTGCAGCTAGGAGCCACCTCCAACCTTGGTATTTCTGGGGAGGGAATTCAAATTGCTTCTCTGGAATGTCTGATTCTGAGCACCATGACCTTCTGTGGAGCCTGCCTGGGTGTTTTGACTGCAAAATGTACCTGCGGCAATTGAAAGTACTGAGGTGATGGCATTTGGAGAACACATGTAAAAGATAATGATTTGAACTCTGTCATACTTAACATTAGGCCATATTTCAGGCAGTAATTGAGTCACTTTAAAGAACAGTTTAGGTTCCTTCTGTGCTATATCATTAGCACATAGAAAGGCATCCCCCCACCTTTTTTTTCCTTTTGTAAGTGCTCATGCATATAACTAATATTTAAAAAGTTTGTAAATCTAAGATAAAAACAAGGGCTGGGGATGTGACTCAAGCGGTAATGCGCTCACCTGGTATGTGTGGGGCACTGGGTTAGATCCTCAGCACCACATACAAATAAAATAAAGATGTTGTGTCCACTGAAAACTGAAAAATAAATATTAAAAAATTCTCTCTCTCTCTTTAAAAAAACAATAAGAAATCAGAATGCAAATGTCTTACATTACTTGGAAGTATCTTTACTCTGCATAATTTAATCTAGATAACCTAGATTTGGGGTAGAATAAAAACAGGTCTAGTGAGAGCAAGAAAAGTCTTCTGCAAGACCTTTTTCTTTTGTTTCTCTTACCTTTCTCTGGGAGCTCTGGATTATCCAAATTTTCACATCTAGTCCAAGCCTTGATTGAAATCATCATATTGTTCTAACTGAGGAGTTTTCTATTCAGAGATAATTATTCAGCATGGGTGTCCCAATCAAGAATTATTTTCTGGTGCTCTTTTTATTATGGTTCAATAGTATAAACTAGTTCTTCCTTAATTTTCTTTTCTTTTTTTTTTTTTTGTACCAGTGATTGAACCCAGGGGTGCTCCACCACTGAGCCACATCACCACATCACCTCTTTTACAATTTCATTTAGAGACAGGGTCTCGCTAAGTTGCTAAGTTATGAGGCTGGCTTTGAACTCATGACCTTCCTACTTCAGTCCCAAATGCTGGATTCTTTCCTTTTCTTTCCTAAGAATCAAAAATATATACTATCTGCTGTTTTTGTTGTTGTTGTTATTCTTAATGTAAAAGACTATACTATTTCTTTGTCAGATTCATTTCTGAAAATAGCTGTGGGATTTTGATTAAGTTCTGAGTGATATTCTGCTGTCAGATTCTTGTAAATATTGTCCATGATTATGTGAAGTTCCACGGTCTGATTTAGGGAGACAGTTCTGGGTTTCTATGCTTTTCTGGGCTTCAACATAAATACCAACAGTATCTCTCTGGCTCCTAGCAAGACTCAGCTAAATATGAGCAAAAAGCAGAAAATACCAAAGACATCAGCACACGTATAGATTTGGAAAATGTTGTCATTGCATATACCTGGCCTTCTGCTGTTAGGCTAGTTTATCCTGTAGCTGGAACAGCTCTCTCTCCCTGAAGTACTAGCTTGTTTTAACTTTGTGGCATTGATGTTGCCATTCCCATCCAATCCCAGGATAAACTTCTCAGGGTGCAATGCCAATTTGGAGAGCAGACAGCAGTGAATTCCAAGGGAAGCCCCCGGGGTTATCACAAGCTCCAACAGCCCACATTATGTCACACTGCCAACTTCAGCAGAACTTGACCTCAAGCTGAACTCCACATTGCCAGGCTACACAGAACAGAGCCAAGCAACTATAATAAGCCTAAGCCTTCTGGGCCAATCAGGAGACCACCTAAAATAAACTTACAACCTTCCCTCAAGAGAACTTTTTGTTTGTTTATAAACAGCAAAATAGTACAATCTCCTGACTTTAGTTGTGGAAGAATTGACGTGTGCTATTCCACCCTCAGAACATCCCAGGGATTCCAAAATCCAGGTCTGCACTCATATTAAAAAACAAACAAACAAACAAAAAACAACTTGGTTTTTCTTTTGGGACTTTCTAGGATTCCTTAGATTCAGGATAGAGAGGGGCATAATCCCAATTCCCTAATGGCTAGCAGGAGTCAAACTCTTCCTTTTCCCCTATAGGGGGAAAAAAGTACCTGAGTTTATGTTCAAAATGTGATGTCATAAAAATGATAACTAACCTGACAATGTGCCTAGTACTGTCCTAAGCACATTGCATGTAGTAACACATTAATATATATTAACTCATTTAATACTCAGAACCCAATAGGGCCACCTGCAAGAACATGCTTAGTTCCATTCACAGCTGGGAAAATACAAGCACAGAAAAGGTAAGTGGAGGTAGGAACCGATTCTGGGTAGTCTTCATCTTTACTTTCATTCTTTACCATCATGGATCATAGAACAGAAAGAAAGTGGTTTCAGAACACTGGGTCAGGTAAGCTCAGAAAATCTAGGCATTTCTACATCTTGAAGTCCACAGAAATGGGAAGAAAATAACAAAAAGCACCAGAAGAAGGGTTCTCTTGGCAGGATTCAGAACAGAGTTCGGTGGGGTTCTTTTCTATTCTTTATTATTATTATTATTATTATTATTATTATTTCTTTTTTTGTAACTGGGGGGCGAAACCCAGAGCTTTGGAAATGCAAGACAGACACTTTGCCCCTGAACTACATGCCAGCCCCAGAACAGAGGGTTTGTAAGGTGGAAATCTTCCCCTCCTTCACCATCCCACCACCCCCATCCTCAGCCTGCAGGCAGAATTAAATTGTGAAAGAATTCCTATTCAGAGACTTGGCCCTAATTATGTTGAATTCCTGGTGGCCATCAATTCCAACTCATCTAACCAGAGAAACCAGCCCATGTCAGTGAAAAGAATGCCCCCATTCTTTCCTATAGTCTACCTGGCCAGCCTTTGATGCACTGGCCGCCCCATGGGCACTCCACTGCCCACCCACATTGTGTTCTCCCAGCCCTACACTCTAGCTGGGCGATCCAGCAGCTGGGATATTCTACCAGTTGGCGACCTCCCCCCCCACACACATAGCTTCTGCACAAAGTTGATGTTCATAAAATGATTTTGATCCTCTCCAAGTTCCAGTTGATCCCAATGCCCATCACAGATTCCACTTTCAATGCAATTTTGTTGTTGTTGCTTATAAGGGTGTGTATTGTTTTTTAGGTCTTTGAAAACTGACATCATGTATGAGATACACCAAATACAATGGCCATTTTATTTTAAATCACATCACCCAGTAAGAATATCTCACATTCAGATTTTAAAACATCGAGGATGCTGCTAATCAGAAGCAGGGACAATGATTCCAAATATCACCTGGGTCTATCAGTTTTAAGTACTCAGAGTGAACAGTATCTTAAAACAGCATCCCTCTACCTTAGAGGTGCTTACAAGTGATCTAAAGATTTGTTGAAATGCCAATTCTGACTCAGTATGTCTCAGGTGGGAGTTGAGAGTCTACACTCCTAATAAGCTTTTGTGTGGTGCTGCTGGTTGGGAACAACTCCTTGAGGACCCAGACCATAAAAGATTTATCTGTCTTGAGACTCCGTGCCCCTGACAAGCCAAGTTGCACATACTGATACAACCCAGAAACTTCTGGAATGTCTGCTTCTTACTGTGACACCTATGATTGACAATGAATTTGACCTGGGCTCTTTGGATGGGAGGGTCTTTTTAGATCCTAAGGGTTTTAAGTTTCTTGACTGAATGCTTTCCCGTGATTCTGAAAATGTCTCCCACTGGATGGTTTTAACTCAAAGAACCTCCTTGTCTCTGAGCATAAGCTCCATAAATCTTTTCTCAGGAGTTTGTGGTTTGGTTACTGCGTGTGTCCACCTGTGGTTACAGGATCCTGCTGACGTGGGATGAAACAAATGTCCATTCTATTAAAACTAGAGCAACGATTGGAATAAGGATTTTAAGCTTTTTGAGGACAGCCACCTCACTTAACCCCCAGTGGACAAACAGTGTCAGAGGAATGTCTCAGGGAGGCAAGCTCAAGTCTTTGTGGAAACAGAGACCCTGATTCACATACTCATTCTGGTACCCACAAGAGTCATCACATAGGCAAGTTACCTTAGCTTTCCTGATCTTGGGTCATGAGGACTAAAGAACTGGCAAGACAGGTGTCAGAATGAGTTAAGACTTGCACACCTCACAGTTTCACCTGCAGCAAGCATTTTGTGGGTCCTCACGGGGCATCCTGGCACTGAAGGTTGTCAATTGCTCAGGAGGAGAACCTGACTTTTGATGTTCTACAGAATGCTCTTTGTAAGAAAGAGGAGGGCTCATTGGACAGAGATGCATTGGACTTTTCTCTGTGGGGAATCTCTACCCCTTTGGTAGATTAAAGAGAACATGTCAAAATCACAAACAACTTGATACAGACTGGATTCTGCAATATCCATCTGACCCTGCATAGGAGAAATATATTTAGAAGACACATTTCAACATAAAAATATTGAACATGAATTGAAATCTAAATATTAAACTATTTTTAGAAGACACATTTGGGCTTTTGGATGAATGAAACTAAAACCAGATTTCCCTGTTTAAGTTTTTTGGCTGAGCTTTTTCCTCTTACTTTGAAAATATTTCCCACTTGACTTTTTCTTTCTTTTTTTTTTTTTTTTCTAATCCCTATTTAGGCATCTCAGCCTCAAAGCATTCAATTACAATGATAGGCCAAGCTCATGCAGCACTCCCCACCCACACTCTAGTACCTCACTCTGTTCATGAAGGAGATTGAAGGTGGAATTTCCACTCACTTTCCACTGTCATCAATCATGTCATCAATGGGAGGGAAAAAGGATTGCACTCCAGGAGATTTCCTGCCCCTAAGTACACTCTAGCTGATTCTGAGCTGAAAAGTCCCCTCATAGTCAAGGCCACCAGAGTCTCTTACTTCCAAGGTAATTCTAAATGCATATATCCTGGGTTACAATTTATTCTTTCAATATCTTGATTCTTATGGAGGAAAAAGTAAAAGAGATGCTTTCTTACCAGGATCCACTAAATCACTGCTTTCCAGGCATCAGTATACAAATGAGCTTCTTGGATTCCTGTCTTAGTCCACACAGGCTGCTATAATAAAATATCATCAATACGGTGGTCTGTAAACAACTTAAATTTGTTTCCTATGGTTCTGGAGACTGTCAGTCTAAGATCAGGATGCCAGCATGTCCACACTCTGGTGAGATCCTTCTTCCAGGTTGCAAACTGCTCATGTCCTGATGGAGTCTCATGTGTTAGAGAACCGAGAAGGAAATAAGGCTCTTAAGTGGCCTCCACACTAAGGGCCTCATCTAATCCTATTCCACACCAAAAGCCTCCATCTCCTAATACAATTACATTGGATGGAAGGATTTCAACGTGTGAATTTTGAGAGGACACAGACATTCAACCCCTCTTAAGCCTTATTTAAATGCACATTCTCTTTCAGTAGTTCTGGGGCACCGTCTGAGATTCTAAATTTCCAACCCACTCCTGGGTAACGCTGCTACTCCTGACCCACAGGGAAAATCACTTTGAGTAGCAGGGCACCCTCGTCTTTCTCGCCAGACTAAATTGCAAACATTGGAAGTCATAACTCTGAACCTCCTCCATATGGGACTCTCATCCAAATTTGCTTCTCCCACTAGCCAAAAATTAGTATCAGAGTACCCAACTTACTTCTTCAATTCCTAACCTTCTCTGACTCCATGGCTTCCCTGTGGCTTATTCAGTATTTTGTAGAGAGATTCTCCTGGCCGTTGCAGCCTATGGACCACTCCTCCAGCTTGGCCCCATTGGTTATTTTACGGAGAACTCCCCATTGCAGCCTTCAGCCTCCCTTTTCATGCCGTTGGCCCATCTGTTCTGAGTGTCTGGAGGTAGATTCATGAATATATGCTGTGGTCATCCCAGTGAGAAGAAAAGGAACTGGGCCGTCCTCAACATGGCTCCTGGGACCCACTGTGTGTTTTGAACTCTAGAGGAAGAAGACTGAACTGTACAACTTCAAGGAGCACAGAACAATCAAAAAGAATCTTAGAGGTAGTCTTATATGAATTCATCATAATGTAGAAAATCAAGATGTATTAAAAAGAACAACTTAGAGAAGGAAAGTTTATTTTGGTTCCATACTTTCAGAGGTTTAGTGCATGGTCATCTGACTCCATTGCTCTTGGCCCAAAGTAAGGCAGAACATCATGGCGGAAGAATGTCGTGAAAGAAAACTGTTCAGCTCACAGCAGTCAGGAAGCAGAGAATGAAAGGGGTAGTGGCTGAAGGGAAGGTAAACCCCTTCTAGGTCAGGACCCACCTCCTCCAGCCACACCCCACCTGCCTACAGTTACCCCCAGTTAGTCCTTTCAAACTAGGATGAACTGATTAGGTTACAGCTGTCACAGTCTAATCATTTCAACTCTGAATATTATTGCATTAATACAAAAGTTTTGGGAAGACACCTCATACCCAAATCATAATACAGGGTCAAATGCATCTGGTGGAATTATTATGCCCATTTTGTAGAAGATAAAACTGAGACTTGAAGGGGTTAACTAATTTACTCATGATCACTCAGTTTACAAAGAATGCAAAGCCAACTTTCTTTGCCTTCATACTTGTGCTCCCAAGTATATTAAATAAAGGCTTCCAACCAACAGAAGCTGAACAATTCTCTCTGCAGAGACACAGTGATATCTGGGTCTAGATCTTACCATCCTCTGAGTCATGGTTTTTTCCCTGCTAAAATCAGATGAGCCTATTTTAAAGCAGGCTTAAACATCTCATATGTATGTCCCTCTATCTTGAATCGGAGCACAATTACAATAATGAAAAAGATATGATAGTATAGAAATAATATGTAAATCACAGCAGTTTTATTCTACCTGTTCCTTTTTAAAAGGCACATCAGATTTCCCATTGCGCCTCTAATTTTTATGTATGGAACCCAGTACTGAATACACAATGCCTCAATGACACAGCACTTTTGAAAGCTATCCTACCTAAGTTGTGTTGACCTAACTTAAAAGGAATCGATAAAACTTTTTTTTCAAGGCTATGAATCCATTGTTTGATGTCGTATGTGACAAAGAGCTTCCTGAAGCTAATGTTTTTTAATAAAACGAACCTGCTTTTCAAATCATAAACACTACTGCAAAGTCAAACTGTTTCTCAAGAGGTAAAAATTCTAGAGTTATGATCACTGGACAAACTGCTGCTTTGTCCAGGTTACTAAAGGGATGAGAGTTTAACAGCCTAGAGGTAGAGGCTGTCAGGAAAAAAAAATGATAAGAGATTTTTCTGATATTTTTAGACAAATACAGAACAAAAATCCTTGACCAACATCCTGCGACAGCACATCTCCCCCTGCGTATTCCAATCCTACTAGAATATTTTGACAGCTATTTTAGCAGAGGTAGGGAACTGGGATTAAAGAACAACAAAAACTCTTTAGCTGTACTTTCAAAAGCCCTCTATTTTTCTCCTCTGGGAAACTAAGGTTTCTTCCAGGTACTGAGGTCTAATTGAATGCCTCCCTTCCTTAGCAGTAGAGTCTTCTTTCAGCTCTGCCTTTTTTTTTTTTTTTTTTGAATTTTAACATTTATTTTATTTTTTCTTAGTTCTTGGCGGACACAACATCTTTGTTTGTATGTGGTGCTGAGGATCGAACCCCGGGCCGCACGCACGCTAGGCGAGCACGCTACCGCTTGAGCCACATCCCCAGCCCTCAACTCTGCCTTATTCTGCCTCCAACCCTGCCTGGCCTAAGGGTTCTTTTCAGACTAATCCTGTGCTGTTGCCCTGGTGCCTCTGCCTGCCCCTAGCCACAGGCACAGGAGGTTTTTATTTGTCCCTCAGTGAGAATTCAATCTATGGGCTTTATATCCCTGAGTACTATAGCTACAGAGTCCCAAAACATTAGAATATTAAAGTGGGCCATGACCTTTGACACGTTTTGAGCTGTGCTATGGTGCTGATCTTTAAGCACTAAGAACCTTTGTTCAAAATAAATCCTCTCAACTGTAATCTATAAGAAAGCTCTGATAGATGCTCTGGTTGAAATAGTCTCATCCACCCTCTCTCCTGATTCCTAGATTTCTAGTGTTCTTGCAAAAAAAAAAACCCCCAACAACTCACCAGACACTATTGAAAAATTTTCCAGAATGACAATTTCAAACTCAGAGTGTGCCTTACCAAGACTTGTGCTGTGCTATTGTCATCAACTAAAAAGGGCCTGTCTTTTCTTTGCCTATTCTATTATCTACCTATTTAACTCTGAGCTCTCCTTAAGAAACTCCTTGGGCTGGGGATGTGGCTCAAGTGGTAGCGCGCTCGCCTGGCATGCGTGCAGCCCGGGTTCGATCCTCAGCACCACATACAAAGATGTTGAAAACTGAAAAATAAAT